AAAAAAAAAAAAAAAAACAAGAAAGAGCAAGCGCAAAACCACTTCAATGGCACTCTTCCAAGATACTTGTCCTTTTTCACTTTTTGAGGTTTAATTTGACTAATTCTCTGTTTAAACCTAACATAGATAAATTATCTTTCAAAAGAATTAAAACATTCCAAAATTATACAAAAGCTACATATGTTACATATTTGTAAATTTGAAAATGTAACATAATTCGTTTCAAACTCTAGGTCGAGCATTCCTTTTCAGTCTCTGGGAAAGCATAAGGGCTGCAAATTTTGACAGAGGGCATAATTACAAAGAAATTTGATATCGTTTTCCATCCTGCTTCTTCGTTTTTACAATTTAGTAAAAGGATTTATACAGATATGAAACTGAACGCACCAGTTCTTTTCCTTTTGTCTTCATTTCTAGATTTAATAGTATACTTATTCAGACTCACAAATAAGGACGAATGAGCAAGAAAAAATGGTAACGGATTCAAGAACTTTTGACATACTCATCAAATTAAACAATAGCGAAAGCATGAAAATAGCATAATGCACAAAGAAGATTGGGTAAAACAACAGTAAATGCAGCCGACAGTAGCGGTAAATTTGAAGGTATGAGGGTGTTTTTAACTTCTGGAGATGGAATTCAAAATCAGATGCTACAAAATCTAGCTCGTGAATTAATAATCATCCACTGAGAAATGCAATAAATTTGGTATTAGGTTCCTGGGGGAGAGCTTATGAAGAAAATACTGAGATGAATTCGGATACAAGCTGGTAAATGGTGAGTAGTATAATAGGTTCACTAGGTCGGGCATTAATCAGCCCATTTGTGTGTTGGGTAATTTCTGTAGTAACGGGCTAGTCACTTTTTGTATCAATTTTTAAAAAATAACCAATTTTGAAATTTAGTGACTCTTAATGCAAATATACCATAACAGTGTTATGGATCTCCAACTTAAACAAATAAAAAATCCATAATAATATCATGATATTTAAAATCCAAAGGGCTCTTGATATGAAACAAAGCTGCATGTTTCTTTTCTTTTTTTTGGGACAAAAATATTATTTTTGTCTCCGCCCTTTGCATTGATAGCATCACGAGTTTTGAATTAAAAAAAGTGAAACTCCATGATAGTGTCTTGGATTTCGTCTGTCATATACAATCAAATCTCTACGTAGCAGTCTCGTTTGTTACAAATATTTTTGGATGTTATATCGAAGCGCTGTTATATAAAACATATATTATAACATAACATGAAAATTTGTTCCGGAAAAGCTTCGCTTTTATAGTGTAGTGTTGTTATATAGGGATGTTGTTATAGAGAGGCCTGACTGTAGTTTCACTTTCTTAAGTTCGAAATTCAAAAACAGTGTTACAGATTCAAAAAAAAGTGAGTTATGAATTTGTATATGTTTTTTAATACAAGTTCAAAAATAGCTATTTTTGATATTTGAGTGTAATTCTTCTTATTATGGTCTCTCTTTAAGAAACTGATGCACTTAAACTGTAGATGGCACTTGATATTTTTCTTCCTCTGGATTTAAGAGTAACCATATTCATAGAACCAAAAAAGAAAAAGAAAAAAAAACAAAGTTAATCGAAAATTAAATAGGAAAGCAGGAACTATGTTTACTGTAAAATTGAGAAAGGAATATATAGATTGTTTTTTTCCTTTTCTCTTCTCAAAATTGATCTCACATCTTCAATTCTTTTTGCAAAAACCTTTCTGTCTATTTGTGTCTCCCTCCATGCTCCTTTTATATGAGTGTTTACTTGAACATCTTAGTTAGGAATACAATGCCAAGCAGTTGAAGACAAACTTGGATTTTTTACTATATTCATTCGTAGGTGATATATTTATTCAGAGGCAGATGCAGGATTTGATCAATTCAATTATGAATCCACAATTTTAAGCAATGACTCTAGTAAAAAAAAATCATTAAAAGTTAAACTCATTAAATTTAAATTTTTAATTCATTTAATATTTAATATGTAAAGCAAAGAGGGAAGCAAAATATTCAACATGAGTGACCGTAGTTACTATATTAGTTAACGTGATTCGTTGACTTAAATTGTCGATCAAAAAGATTAAGTAGCATGAAAAGTTCAATCCCTTTTTGCCTTTCGAAAACCCTAGAAAAAAAAACGAAAGTAAGACAAAGTATATATTCATTGTTTGTTAGAAAATTCAATCTTATACAAAAGACGTAGATTTGCTCCATCGACTTCCCCTTCATGTGGCCACGTACAACTTCTTTTTTTTAACATGAAAAGGTACTTATATTAAAACATAGGTAAGGCTAATGTCCGTTAACATTGTCATTAGTACATAAGCCATCATAAGCTAATATTATGCCTTGTAAGGCACTATCATTTCCTAAAGCAGCCATACGACCACATTGGTCTCTAGAACAGTTTCTAGCATATATATATATATATATCCAACCTCATCTTTGTCATATACATCTACAACAAATTCAGGTGGCAAAACAAATGTACATATTTTATTGTAGCTACATTGCGTTAGTGCTGCTTTTGCCAAAAGATGAGCCACCATATTCCCTTCGTGGAAGCTATGCTTCAATGTGATTGTCCCCTGTCTGAATACCTCTTCCATTAACCACCTGCATTTGTAAATTAAGTTATTGTAAGTTGGGTAATCTTCGTGAAGGAAACGTATGACCTCTGTGGCATCAGTTTCTACTTCAACCGGGAATGTGTCTTCCCTAATAATTAGTTGAAGTGTATGCCAAAAAGCTTGGAGTTCTGTTTGTATTGGTGATGTTGCTTGAATTTTCTTGTAGAATCATGTCTGCCATTGCCCTTTGTAGTCACGAACTACTCCACTGATACCCCCTTCCAGGTAGTTGCTTTTGAATGCACCATCGATATTTACCTTAAACCAACCTTTTGGTGGCGGCTGCCATTTTACATCAACTTTTATGATTTTATTGTAAGTATTGATCGTGCATGTGAGAAAAGTGTATTGTAGTGTTTTATCAATAACCTTTTTAACATTAATGTGAGAGTTGGTATTGTTGTGGTTGTTATGGTTTCTGTTGTTCCAAATGGCCCAAAGAGCAAATGGTAGAGTATCTTTTCAAGTTACATAATTATAAGTTTTATTAGAGGTTGTATCTCGTAATAACTCCAACCAATTATTAGTCTTCCCCTTATTGGTAATTGACACTCCTAAGGATTGCTAGAAAGCATGAGCTATGTTGCATTCCCAGAAGATGTGGCATATAGATTCAGTATTATCCTTACATATTGGGCAGGTTGGATTTATATTGATACCAATTTTAGCTAGGTAGCCTCTTGTTGGAAGTCTTTTATGGTAGAGTTTCCAAATGAAAAACTTGATCTTGTTAGGATAATTGGGTTCCCAGATCTACTTAAAGGTCAGAGTATTGGGTGTTTGCTCATCAATTAGGTTATAGGAATAGGCAGTTGAGAATATACCACTAGGGTTAAGACTCCAAATGAGATTGTTTGGGTGATTGACTTGGCATTTTAGATTTAAAGCATTAATACTGTTTGTGACTATTTGAGGAAGGTCAAAAGATATTTTTTCTAAATCACAACCCTTATAATCCCAAATGTCTTTAATTATTAACTTATCCTCATTTTGATTTAACGGTCCTGGAATAATATTACGCAGACTTTGAATATTTGGGATCCAGTTTGAGTCCCAAATATTCATATGGGAATGTTTATCAATTGTCCACCTATTGCCCTTATTGCAAATAGTACAAACCTTGAGGACACTTTTCCAAGTGTTTGAGGAGCCATTTATTCTCTTACTCTTCCCATAAACGCTAATAAGAGTTTTAGCCCATAGGGAGGTTGTATTAGTAAGGATCCTCAATGCCAAGCTTGTTAAGAGGGCCAAGTTTTTACATTTTGCTTTCTTGATGCCCAAACCACCATTAGACTTTGTGTTGGTAACCGTACTCCATCCAATAAGGTGGATTTCTTTCTTTTCCCTCGTATTCGCCCAAAGGAAATCTCTCTGAATTTTATCTATTTATTGAAGTGTTTTGGTGGGAAGAAGACTTCTTTGCATTAGGTGGTTTGGTAGCGTATTTAAAGTAGAAGTTATTAGTATGCACCTCACTGTCATGCTTAGCCACCTCGCATTCCAATTGTTTAGTCTAGCACGTATTTTGTCAAGTAATGGTTGATAATCCTTGTGCCTAGGGTAATTATTCAGCATTGGAAACCCTAAATATGTACCAAAGGTCTTACTAATGATAATCCCAAAAGTTTGAGTAGCTATGCCTTTCATGTGTTTATTACAACTCTTAGACATGATCAATTTAGATTTTTCTTTGTTGATATTTAATCCGGACACATAACTAAAATCCTCCATACATCCGGAAATTGAATTAATTGTTTTCCTATTAGCTTCACCCATAAGGGTTAGGTCATCATCAAAAAATAAATGAGATAAGGGGGGAGACCTAGGATTAAGCTTTATAGGTAGCCAGTTCCTTGTATCGACTTGGTGGTTAATATTTTTAGAAAGCATATCCATACAAAGTATGAATATATAGGGTGACATGGGATATCCTTGTCTAATACCTCGTGTGGGAGTGAACTCCTTAGTTTTGTTGCCATTGACCAAGATGGAAATGGTACTCGTGGTAATACAACTAAAGATAAGGTCACTAATTTTCCTAGAAAATTTAAAAAATTTAAGAGCTCGATAAATGTAAGACCATTCCAATTTATCGAAAGCTTTTTCCAAATCAAGCTTTAGTAAGAAATTTTCCTTTCCTTTGGCTATATTAAATTTCTTTAAAACTTCTTGAATTATGATAGCATTGTCACTTGCTCTCCTACCCTTTAGGAAGCTAGCTTGTTGAATATTGATCAGTTGGTTAAGAAAGGGCTTGATTCTGTTGGCAATTACTTTAGCGATCACCTTATAATTCATGTTACAAAGACTTATCGGAATGGTATAGTAACACTGCGCAAGAAAGATGTGGATGCCTCTGTTGAGGCTATTCAGAGGTTATACCAGCTGCCCGCACCTGTGGCGAAAATAGAGGATTTTTATAAAGCATATGGCAGAAAATACACTCAGTGGGAAATGTTCTTTGAAACCATTTGTGTACCTGGAAAGGAAATTGTGTGGATGAAATATGGGAAGAAGTTCTACTCAGCGGCGCTCACCTTTGAAGAGAAGTGTTGGTTGTATGACATCAACAACCGCCTGATCCCATCTTCCAACACCACAGAAGTGAATGCTCCTCGAGCTGCTCTAATTTGGTGCTTTATAAATGGTCACAACTTTGATGTGGCCAAGCTTATGCATGAAGATATGTTTACACGCTGTCCGGTGAAGAGGTATGGTTTCTTTTTCCCCTCACTAGTCACTAGGCTTTGCAGGGCAGCGAAGGTGTCGGAAAATTTAAATGTGGATGGGATAGTGCCGAGAGACTCCAAGTTCCGAGCTGATAAGGTGACTACTAGGAAGGAGCCTGTGGCCCCTAGTGGTGATGAGAGTGTTGACTCCAATGAATCTGAGGAAGGGGAGGATGAGCAGGAGGAAGCAGAAGCCGAGCAGCCCACCCATGTGCCGGTTGCAGAAGCTGCAGGACCATCTGAGGTTGGTAGGGTTACCCGATTAACAACTTTAGAGCAGGAGGTGGCAGGGTTGCATACCTCGGTCGAAGACTTAAGTACGCGTATTGATGCGGTGGCCACCTAGCAGGTTAAAACTGAGAAGAAAATATTGAGCTGGCTTCGAGCTCTGGGTCGTGCTTGTCGTCTGGACCTG